TAAAAACCAATAATAGATCGATAAAAAAATTCATAAATTAGTAAAAAAAATAGGATACATAAAAAATGTATAAAAATATGTCCCAACATCATCGCCAAACTAGGAGAATGGTTATATAACCACTGCAAGAAAACGTGTGAGTAGTTGCGGGAAGTTAGAGTTTGCCATGAGACTTACACAACTATTATTGGCTTAGCCAACTCTAAGGTAACGTTATTGATCTTTTATTTATTTCGTTTTAATTTATCTTTTTACTCAGCCAAGCCCACACAAAAATCCAACTTTAAACTAACACAATTGGTTGCTTATTTATTTTATTTTAATTTTTTTACTTTATGTCGACTAAGTTGACGAAATAAACATAATTTAATTTAATTTGTATTTTTTTTCCTCACATCAGCTTGGGTGACACTATTTATAGTTAGCTTTGTGTTGGTGTAGTTGTTAGTAAAGTTATCAAACCTTATGTATTTTTCCAACACTATTTTATTTAATTTAACTATTTTTAGTTTTAAGTTAAATGTAATTAATATGAGTTTGGTCAATGCTAAGTTTAATTTAAGTTGATGTGGGTGATGTTGGCCAAGTCGACTCAAATTTTAGTGTATACCTTGTTGTCCTCTTACCTAGATTTACTTTTCTTTTTGTCCCCAAAATTCACTCTCTGCTCTCTCCAAAAAATTATAGGCTTGCTAATCAAATCCACACATCCTTACTTTCACCATACCATTACCACGAACAATTCTATCTCTCTCGAATCTTATGTATCTTCTTGAAACCCTTTCGCAACCTTTATCTCTCGAATCCATTTGTCCTCCCTCTCAAGCCCTATCTCCCTCCTTGGAATCCAATCGCAATCTCAAACGCATTTGCGCCTTAGTCTTTTAAATCTAATCACTCTCCCTTGAACCCAATTGCTCTTGTTTCAACTCTTGCACTCCTCAAACTGTGACGGCCAGTCTCCGGTGAGATTCTAGGTATTGTTTTAAGATATGCATAAGTTCTATTATATAAATTATTATAGAATCTTTGACTCTTATGGGTTTCGGTTGCAATTCACACGGCATTGCTTCGCTTATTCGCTACCTTTCTTGATTTTTCCTATTTAGAATCCAATGTTGTCATCATCGGTATTCCCTTGTCAATGTTTCTCTTCTTCCTCATTTGTTCCTAATTTTAGGGTTTTAATTCTAATCCACTTATATGTAGGCAGTTGTGTCAAATAAATTGCAATATCCTCTATTCTCAATTTTTTTGATAAGAATATTAGGAAATGGAATAAAGGTTATCCATGTGCAACAAATTGGATTGGGGTCTGTTGTTTTGTAAGAAGGGTTATGACCACTTCCATATTTGAGAGATGCATGGCTTCTTTTTCCTTCTACTTCCTTTTTTCTCTTAATATCAATGTTATTATTTAGATATTGTAAAGTTTGATTTTAGTTTTATTTATATTTATATAACAGCACAAAGTTAATGTTTGAGAGGTTCCTAAGTTTTAATTATTTTTTGTTACTCCAAATTTCTTGAAGCTACTTCATGACAATGAATTGAAGTTTATGGGGAATTGTAGTTTTGGGAAATGTCTAATGCTCTAGTTTGTGTAATTTAGTGTTCATGATTAAAGCTTATAAATGTCACTTAATTTGCAGGAGTATATACACTATCGAGTGTATGAGAATTTAAGAAGGGTTGGAACTTGGAATGTCAAAAGAAGATTTAGAAAAGGCATAATAATATTTATTTGTTTCAAGTTTCACTTATACATTAATTATAGCTCATTTAAGATATTATTTCAATGATAAAACTACATTGGCTTATTGCTTCTAAATATTGGCACCTTTTATCATAAGTTTTGGCTATTTGTATTTCCAAGTCTAACTTTGTGCGATATAAAGGTGTGATTGGAATGTTATGATAGATGAATGAATCCGTCTATTATTATAAGATCAACGCTCAACACATTAATTTTTGATAGTAATAAGGAGGGTATCATAACTGGGTATACATGTCAATAATCACTGTTAGTAATTTGTTTACACATTACAACAAAAACAAAAAGAATTTTGAGAATATTTACCTAATTATGTATAAATATTGTTAATTTACTTTTATAATATATTATTAAATATTATATATAGTCTATATTGTTAAAAAAATTTAATAACATTATTACATAATTAGACAATATATTCTTTTAAATATTATCAAAGTGATATTTTTTTTAACATTTTAATGTTATTGCTAAATTTTAGTTGATTTTATATAATAATTAGTTTTAATATAGATGTTGATATCACTTATACTTTACAACTCCTAGCCCCGTACAAGTTTTTAAGGTTAAAGACATTCTTAGTTAGTTACCACCAAATTTATATCAAGTATCAAAATTTATTTATCTTACAAACAAAATGGAACTCAAAACATTCACAGAAGACACCTTGTTTGAAAAGTTTTGTTGATGTAAGAAAAATAAGTGATGTCAACACATATTGAGGAACAAGACATGCTCCAATGGCTAGTTCATCCCACGTGGCCTGTATATATTGACCAAATACAATTACAATAAACACAAAGGAGAACGCCTACATCATTCCAAGTCATTAATCAACTCCTCTCCACTCCAGCACTTCTCTAAAATTGAAAATGTAGAAAATGGAGTGAAGTACAACAGAGCTATCATGAAAAGTTCAACCCATGAGTGTGGATTAGTTATATATTACCCCCAAACACTTTTTCTCTGTATCACTACAAGAAAAATCAGTATTATCTACGGAAGAAATCCGTAGATAAGCATGAAAATTTATAGGTAAGTGATAATTACCTACGGATTATCTACAAAAAAAAAAATTCGTAGGTAATAAGGTCGTAGATAACGTTACCTACGAAAAATTTTATCTACGGATGACTTACCTACGAAATTTACTTACGAAAATTTTCGTAGGTAAGTTATCTATGGAAATTTCCGTAGGTAAATTACATCCGTAGATAAGTTACCTACAAAAATTTCCGTAAGTAACTTACGTATGAAAATTTCCGTAGATAACTTACCTATGGAAATTTCCATAGGTAACTTATCTACGAATATATCAAATTATCAGAAAGAAAGAATTAAAACCACTATAACATATTTCAAATCATCATAAATATTATTATCAACTAACAAGAGAAAAAATATTTTTTATCTTCATTTAATTACTCTTGTTAATAAATAATGTGCAATTATTATAAACTACAAAACTTTTATAATCTTTTATAATATTTATTTAACAGTTTTTTATTTTTATTTAAAAAGTTAAAATTATCTTATAAGTATAAATTAATTTAATTATCGTAACATTATTGAAAGAATGCACTATATATAGTGACTACTATTTTTCTATGTAAGGATGCAGCTCAACTACCTAATCTCCTAATCCCATAAAATACATAAAACTTTAAAATGTGCAAAAAAAAAAATGCTTATTTACAAACCTTCCAAACTTCTAGTGTTATGCAAAAATGAGATATAAGAAAAGCTCCAGTTAGAATCACTGACATGCTAAACTGAATATATTAAACACAAGAATTATAGAAAGAAAGAAAAAAGGAATAATCATGAGCTGAATTTCTGTCAGTCTTCTTTCTCGCTGAGTTCAGGTAGTTTCAAGCTTAATTTTGACATTAATGAAACTTGAAGGCTATTGCTTCTCAGTTTGATCCGCTAATTTCATACATTTATAGTTATAATGAAATTCCTTTTTATCCAATAGAATAGGAAAAAGAATGGCCTAGTGGTTTAGGATAAAATCTACAAAAATGACAGAATTGGATGATGAAATATCTTATTTAAGTTAATTTTATATGTGTTTGTACTAGCAATTGTTTCTATTTATTTTTTATATGCGGATTTTCACCATCACATTACTTTTGAACTAGGGACCTTAGGACTCTAGTGGCTTTTGTCTTCATTACTATTTTGCTATGCAGGGAAAGGAATCTGTTCTTTTGGGAAAATCCAGATAGCGAAAACCAGATTGGACTAGTCAGTTAACGCATCACCCAATTCAATGCCCTGTTTGGTTTAGATCTTAAACCTGCTAAAGCAGCCAACCAATCCCAACTAGATTTAATGGATAGACCCATGCACCCATATTAAGCTTGAAGTATGGAAAACTGATAATTTTATAATATAGAATGTGAAAGAGGTTTTCATTAGAACAAGGGAAATAATGGAAGACTGCTCAAATCCTAGCCAATAGCCACTAATGCAATCAACTCTGCTGTCATAACACTTATATTTATTTTTGAAGAGGAGCAATTGTATAAGGATGCTCGTGAACTCTTTCACAGTTTCATTGCGTGTTTATTTTTTATCTTGAAATCATGTGCCAGACAATTAGAATAACGAATAATATTTCATCTCTTTATGCCTTTTCTAAGTTTCAAAAATATTAAACTTAGAAAGACTCTAACCAAATGTTTTAACCAAGTACTAAAGGTACCTACTTTTCTCATTCAAGACAGGTTTGAATTGTTTCCAAAGCATATGGTAGGGACAAACCAAGAAACCGCATGCAAAATAGTGAAATTAACTGTTAATCTTTCTTGACCTCATAGCAAAGTAGTAGTCAATACTACACTATAGTGACAATGTGGAACAGGCTTGGGCCACCATGGTATCCAGGGAACCAACATTATTCTCCTCCCATGCTTAGCTTTCCAACAATATGCTTAACCAACTTTAATGGGAATCTATTTTACTACCCATACTAAAAATATCCTAAAAGCTAATTCCACTACGAAGGCTCATTTCATACAATAATTTTCTCTAATTTTTCTTTCTTTTTCATCTTATCATTCCTTACATAAATTCTTTTTTTTCTTAGACTGCGTATAATATTGTCTCTCCAACACTTTAATCTTTTCATCTCGTGAAGCCAACCAATTAAAGGGCCTTTTCTGCTACACACACCATCTATATACACTACCAAGATATTTTTAATTCAACAACCCAAGTGTTAAGCATAAATATTCGATCGTGTTTATTGTTCTGGATCATACAACTCCATTGGGCCACTGGATATATTTTTTATTTAATATATCCAAAACATAAATATACATTACTTATTAACCCAATAGTTGGTCTCTTTAATTAGTACATTTCAGTTCCAATCACACTTCAAATTTCAATCATTACAAGTTCAAGCGCCTTAAATTGCTTGCCAAAGAAAACTTATATTAGTCTGACAGCATTCGCTCTAAATATTAATTTATCATATAAAAACACAGTAAGTGGAAAGTATAGCAAAACAGAGCTTACATGCCAATATATCCATACCGCAACTTTATGAGGCATCAACCAAAAGAAAATTGCATGATCTGACTCGGTGGATGAGCACAGCATTTTAGTTTTCAAACTGGCAGCAAAATAGTTTCCATTTTAATCAGTACAAAGAACACAGTCTGCGGTTAGATTCACAAAGTTACATATGTAAGGTAAACAAGAAAACTGAAAACAGAAAACCAATGCTGAAACTCAGTTCGTTAGCAAATCCAATCAAAATAATTTGAATGAAATTCGATATTATCGGATACTGTTGAGCAAGGAGCACTCAACTAACGCTCTCAAATCTTGTGCGGTCGCAGGGGCTTCCAGGGGCTATCCGAAAAACGCAAACTCAAGCACAATGAAAAAAATGGAGACCAAAATAGAATCAACCAAAATGGAGACCCTAGAGAGACTGAGAGAGAGAGAGAGACGTACCAGTTGTGGTGACGGAGCCGCTCGGAGGGAGAAAACACAACGGGTAACGGTGTGGCTCTAGACTGGCACGGAAGCTACAACCTTGGTCACTTGGAGGCCGGAGTGGTGCGGTGCGACTGTAGAGTGGCCGGCGAGGGAGTGTTTCTGGTTTGCTAGGGCAAGAGCCGGAGGGAGTGTTTCTGGATTGTTTCATTTTCTTGGAGCTGTGTTGTTTTAACTTAGCTCAAGCTAGCAGGGTTGCTTTCTCATAATGGGTTTATGAACCCGAAAGTGAAAAGAAAGAAAAAAATATATAATAAAAAATGAGAAAAATAAAATCTTAAATATTATTTATGGAAAAAATTTCGTAGGTAATATTCCGTAAATAACTCAATATTACTTACGGAAAAAATTCTATAAGTAATATTTCGTAGATAACTAAAAATTACTTATATAAAAAATTCCGTAAGTAATATTTCGTAGATAACTCAATATTACTTACGAAAAAATTTCCATAGGTAATATTCCGTAAATAACTTAACATTACCAATAGAAAAAATTTCGTAGGTAATAATTTGTAGATAATAGCAATTTTTCTTATAGTGTATGTAATATATTTTTATCCTTAATCACCCAAATGGATAGGAGTTTGGTTGTGAGAAGAGTGATAGGAAGAATGCATGGAATGTGGACAACTTAGAGAGTGTCTTTAAGATGATAGCCTGGAGAGAATATAATAAAATAATACTTAGGCAACCTGAAGATGTTAAAGAATATTTGTATTTTATTTCTCCCATGGCCAGGAGGATTTCATGATTGAGTGGATGCCTTGAGAGGTTAAGGATACTCTTGATATCTAGAGAGATGGAGAATACTCATGATACCTAGAGAGGTGGAGAATACTTGTGATGCCTAGAGAGGTGGAATACTCGTGATGCTTATAGAGGTGAGAATACTCGTGTTGTCTATAGAGGCAAAGAATAGATTGTCTCTTCCATGGCCAAGTGATTGTCTCTTCCATGGCTTGAGTGAGTGCTCCAAGCCAAGACTAAGAGGTTGTTGTGGTTAGGGAGTTGTTGAACTCCAAATTGGTTGGTAAGAAAATCCAGTTGAGAGCTAGTATTGTTAATGGTAATCTCATCAGTTTGGATAAGGACTGGATGTAGCCTTGGTTTGAGATTAACTAGTATAAAATTCATGTGTACAGTCTTCTTGATGGAAAAGCATGAGCCAAGGGACCTACTACAAGAGCTATGCCAATGAGAGCCTAAGAGGGTTAGGCTAGATTAGAGGAAGGTAGGCCCATATTAATTTTCAGTTAGGCTATTACATGACTCTTAATAGTGTTTTGTATTTTCCTTAGGCCTTGTATTTTAGGCTAGCTTAGTTAGGATTTTCTTTTGGGCCATTAGATATGATATATGTCTACCTAGGAGGAGGTTATACATTTTAATTTCATTTAGGAGCCATTTGAAATACATTTGGATTCCATGTGACTAGCCAAGGGTGGTGCACATGTACATGGCATGTTTCAAATGCATCTCCAAATGCCATCTAAATGACACCTAAATGCATTAGCCTCATTTCCTAGATACAAGAGCACATGGCGGAAGGTTTTGAGGTGAATTTGCATTCAAATTCAAATTTGACGCGCCTAAGAGTCAAGTAAACCATACCATGTTTAACTTGATCCTAGGCTTAACCTAGCTTCTTCAAGACACCAGCTAACTATATTGTAAGGCCTCCTTTGTGTGTAAATTCTTCATTTTGGATTATATATGAGATATTCATTTAGATTTCTATCTCAAATTCGGAGCCAAATTGCTTAGGGAAACTAGCTTCCCTCTTCAACAAGGAAACCTTCTTTGTGCATTGGTGAGTTTGATTCTTTCTTTGTTTTAAACACATCCATAATAATTCAATTAAAATTAAGAGGGTTACCCTACTACAGATACCCATCATACGTGTCCATGAATGAAACATTCTCGCTCCCCCTTACATCTGATGACGATCTCCAAGTCAACAAGTACATTCTTTGTAGTCAAAGACTACTCCACGCGTTCCTTGAAGTTCTCCTCTCTGGTTTCTCTATGACCTATCGTCTAGTGAGTTACTCAAATCCATTGAACTGTCATGTATCATTTGTACTATTTTCTCTCTTATGGTGTGTTCTTTATAAGTACTTTTAGAATTTCAAAAAATTAACACATTATCTGACCTAACCTTTCTTTTACTTATTTTTATAATACTCTAGGTTGGACTTAAAAGTCTAAACTGAAAGACTCTTTTCTAACCCACCTCTTAAACTATATTTTATTTTATTTATCAAAAAAAAAATTATTTATATTAAAAGCTCAATTAAATAAATAAATTAAGCATTCATTCATTTATGAACTTTATTTCATTCCGAAAAATTTTGGGATCTTACAATTTATATTGACTGAAAATAAGGTTTAAAAAATATTATATAATATTATTCATTGAAAAAATAATTATATTTAATGGTTGATTGAAATCACACATATTAACTAATTATAAGTCTATCTAATTAATTATATATAATGGTTATGTAATAATTTCTATGTATGACAATTAAATACACGTTTATTTTTATAATATTTTTATTTTCCATTTTTAAACAATATTTTTTTTGGTTTTTTAAATATTGTTTTTTCTTAAACATACAACAAGATGAAGATAATATATTTTTTGCAAATTTTAAAATTCGCATATAGTTTCCTGCAAATTTTTTCGCAAGTTTCCTGCAAATTTTTTTTGGCAAGAAATTCTGCAAGAAAATTTCTTACAAAAAGTTTGCGAATTTCAAATGCTCACAATGAATTCATCTGAAAAATTAAGAAATTTTATTTGACGTCTCCAACATGTGATACATAACCTTTTAAATTTATAGATTGTAGATTATAGCTTCAACACTCAACCATAAAAATCAACTTGTAAGGTAAGTGTTGTCCTAACTTATAAACTCTTTAATTGTTTTATTTCTAATCGATGTGGAACTTGAAATTTTTTTAAAATATTAATTAGATCATGTCTTTAGAAATAAGATTAATTCATTATATTGAATACCAAAATTATATTATTATAAATTATTTTAACTCTTAAAATATTTAATATTCTAAAAAATTGGTTTTTTTATTAAATAATTTTATTTTAAAAACTATCATTAAATTAAAACTCATCATCATTAATTTATATATTTAATAAAAAAAATATTTAATTTATTAATATTTTAAACTAAAATTAATTTAAACTTATAAATTTAAACATTTTTTTATTTTTCCTACAGATTAAAATTGGCAGCAAAATCTGCAGGAAAAGTTACCTGCGAAATTTTTCTACCATTTAGTAAACATTACTTGCGAATTTATATTTACAAGAAAATATACAAGAAACAAAATAAAATTCTTGCAACATTTTCTACAAATTTTTATCATGGAAAAAAAATTTCTATGATCATTAAAATTGTAGCAAAACTTGCAAAAATAATTTCTTGTAAATTATTTTTCATAAAAAAATTTATAAGAAATATCTCTAAATTATTTTTCGCAAATACATTTATAAATTTTTTTTGTCAAATTATTATTGCAAGAAAACTCGCAAAAAAAATTCTGCAAATATTTTTTTTAGAAAAATTCGTAGAAAAATGACATTTTTCTAATATTAATTATATAAATATTACATTATGATTTGATTTCAATATATATCATATCATATGCGAGCAATAAGAAATATTAAATTTTAAAGTTCGATATTCACTCGTAATTGATGATGTTATAAATTATTTATCCTTGTCCATTCAAATATGCTTCAAATTGTAGCAAATATAGGATCCAACTAAGACAATTATTTTTATAATAAACGTAATAATACATATCAAACATTAGAGGAATTTTTTTCTCATTTACAATAATATTATGCATTAATATATACTCTATTTGTATCTTAATTTAGTTTTTTGAGAAATGTATCTTTAGAAATCAACATGTAAAATCTTTTTTTTTCTTCTAATTATTCCTAAAAAATAATTTTTCTCGTACATTATTCTGGTTCAAGTACTAATACCATATATATTAATTTTAGATATTGATATCCACTTATTATATCATTAATAAAGGGCATTGAAAATTAATTCATGTGAATGCCTTAAATCTTTCAATAAGTACTACAACATATGCATCCCCTTCAACACATCCATATTATATCTTTGACATTTTTGCAACATGGAGTTGGTACTCTTACTCATTGTACTTCTTACACTATTGTCAACCGCATCTACCTCTAAAGCTAAACCATCAAATGGTTTTAGCATTGATGTTTTCCATCGTGACTCACCTTTGTCACCCTTCCACGACCCTTCACTGAACCACACTGAGATAGATTTAAGTTCCGCCATGCATTCAATTTCTCGGTCCGACAACCTCGACAACATTGAAACTGATATAACTCCGAATAGTGGAGACTACCCATGAGAATGTTCATAGGTACCCCACCAGTGAAGTCACTTGTTTCTGTAGACATAGGCAGTGCTGTTATTTGGATACAATGCCAACCTTGTTACAATTATATTGTTTCCAACAAGCTACAATAATAAAGTTATGGAAAAAGAATTGTGTATCTGAGTCTATTGATCAATAGGTAATTATATACAAGTATATGACAGTAACAAATATTAAATTATAGGCTAAATTGTCTCCTTCATATCCTTGATATGATTTGACATTATTCTCCGATGAAAGAGAATTAAAATGGACAAAATGTACGCCAAATTAATTATTCCAATTGATGAAATAATTCTAAGAATTGTGCATGAAAGCATAACCCGTATAACATATCCCATATTACACACCGTTTGTGATCTAATGAAATCCTCAACTTACAACAGATTAACTTGTGGCTCTCATCCTTGTCGAGTAATGTACAACGCTTACTGTGCAAGAGAATCAGGGGAATTGGTACGTGTTTTGAGTTTGGAAGTTCTTTTGTAGCATATATATCCTTCTTATTAAATCATAACATTTACACCAAGACCTGCCCAAGCATAAGGCCATGCATTTACCTACGAGTAGCTTTTCTTTCTTTTTTTTTTTTTTAAATTAAAAGGTTGATAATTTTTTCTTGACTTAAATATTTTTGAATTGAAATTAAAAAGAAATTAATTATAGTTGAGGAAAATCGACTGCAGAGGAACGTATGATAGAGGCAAAGTGGCAAGCTAGCATAGGACATAGGTCGTAGCCCATTTATCAAT